AGTTGCCAGGGGGAGGGTGAGAGGGTTCACCAGAGGCAGAGTGGGGAATAGAGGGAGAGATAGGAGAGGTCTGCTGTGTCCTGTGGGTCAGCTCCCTGGCCGGCTGGTGATGGAACTGTTGCTGCAGTGGCTGGGGATAGCTTCATAGCGCTGTGACTTAACCACTGCACCACCAAGGAGGCCCATCTCCTTTTTTAAAATGATTTTTTATTTTTATTATTTGCGTAAAAGAATTGGGGTGTGGGCCAGAGGTGCAGCAGGTGAGGGGGATTCACCAGAGACAGAATGGGTAGCAGAACAGGCAGATCTACTGATATACACTGCTGAGGGGAGCGCCATAGGTGGGTTAGCTCCCTGGCCAGGGAGCTAACTCAGGCCATAGTGGTGATAGCGCTGAGACTTAACCTCTAGGCCACTAGGAAGGCCCTGGAACTGTAACAGGGTGGTCCCCAGGAAAGGGGGAAGTTCCAGGTTCCCTGCCCCACCCAAGGGAGGGTGGAGCTGAGCAGGGAGAGGAGAAGCAGCAGAAGAGACTGAGGAAGGAAGCAGGATGGAGCCAGGAGACCTGGAGGAGGCACATGGAGCCTAGAGACACGTGAAGAAACTGCGCTTGTCTTTTGGTCGTGGACTGGGTGACACAGATGTGGGTGAGACCCGTGGGGAGGTGACCATGGCAGCTTTTATCTTGATGTTGATTTTGCTCTTTTCCTTCTGGGCTTGTCTGGTTGTTTGTGACCCTTTTCTGTGGGTCCCCACTGGGAGATGCTTTAGACTTGTGGCAGGCTTTGGGGCCTTGCTCTGGACCAATCCCATATGGATGGACTTTTACCCACGAGGGGATGGGTAACTTTGGGTGCTTCATCTAGAAACTAGACTCTTTGCCTTTCCTGTATTGTTTCCTAGTTTTATTAAAGTTCCTTCCCATTAAAGTCTCATATGTTTTGTGTTGATGCGGCTGATGGCAGAACCTACTTAGAATAGGCAGGTTTGCGGGGTTTGGGCTACCCCTCTCCCTGCTCTATAACAGATTAAGTGTTTCTGATGGCATTAAATGGTTGCTTGAAAACAAATAGGGTACAAAAGATATTCTCTCAACATCTAGAGGTACTCCCTAGGGTAGCCAAAAAAAATGCATAATTCCTATGACCCTAACTGCACATGGAATTCTACCTATATTTCTGTACAGTCATATTCTGGAGCTCTCAGCCCTACAATCACCAAGCCAAGCTGTCAGGACATAAAACAAGAAAAACAGAAGACAACAGTAATTACCTTGAAAAAGTAATGAGTTGGGATTTGACAAGGAAGGGACGACATAAAATTTTATTTTCCCCTGAGTATTACAGGCAGAGATCTGAGAATGCTGACTGTAATGAAATTGTCAGGATTTCCCGCCCTCCCGCCATTAGCATTAATGATAGATCCCTTTGGTCCTACATGCATGCGTAATGGCAGACACCTGGAGTAGGGTGTGGACATGCATAGGTGGGCACACTTACACTGAGACACTGAGCTTATAAGGTTGGCATCATGGGACACCAGAGTCACAGGGAAGCCAGCAGAGCAGTAGTGGAAGAGCAGCAAGGGCAGCAGAAGCCAAGAAGTAAAGAGCCTGCGGGAGAAGGCCAGAGAGCCCAGAAAGAGTGAAGACTCACCGGACACTGGGGGCCTGCCAGCTTCCTGGCCCCCTGGCCCCCCTACCTGCCTTGTACCTTGTTGCTGCACTACAAATGATGTAAAAAGCTCAATAAAAGCCTGAGAAACCCACCTAGGGCTCCAGGACTCTCCTTTACCTGTCTACTCAGATCATAGAGAACCTGCTCTGTGCCTTGCCTACTCTGCACTGACTCTGGTAGATTGTGGTAGAGAAGCTCCCAATAACTAATTCTGCCAATTTTCCCAAGACTCCATTTCCAGGCTCAAAGTGAGGTTTACAGTAGCGAGTGTGAATCCTTTGTAGACCAAATTTGGCAAGGTTTCCTATTAATTTTAATTCTAGCTTCCCCTCAGTTGTTTAAGGGAATTATTGGTAGCAGCTTACTAGAAAATCCCTGGGTCCCAGTTGGGGCACATATGAGTGCCAGTGAGGCTACCTCTAGAATATGAAGATTTTCCTTTAAATTTTTTTTTAATTTTAATTTTGTGGTTATGTGTAAGAGCAGAAAACTTGGAGAGGAGTTACCACAAGACCAGAAATCTGGTTGACACAATGCCAGGAGCTGGAGATGGGGATAGACGTAATTAACATAGTCATTAAAGCAACTATAGAAATGAAAAACCCTCAGGGGCCCAGGCCCAGACCCAAGCAGGAGTCAGACTGCTGTTAGAGCATGTCACAGTGCACTGGCAGACTGGATGTGAGGATATGGAGATTGAGGGCCATTGTAGAAACTCTGGCACTTTTCGAATTCTACATAGTATTCAAAATCAACAAAAGCAAACCACTCCACAAAGGAATGAGCCCCTCCCAAAGAGAAGACTCTGTCAGTGCAATTTCTGCACTGGCAAAGTACAGCAGCCCTTTTGCCCACCTGTGACTATGCAGGTGCTTCTTTTCACCAATCTTTTCCTTTTGTAGAGCTGGAGCAGGGGTCCTTCTGCCCACCTGTGCTTATTATGCAGGAGGTCCTTGTTGCCAACTCTCTCGCTTTGCAGGGCATCAACCCTCTTGCCCACCCGTGACCTGTAACCACGCGGGTGCTTCATTTCACTGACCTTCCTTAGCAGAGGCAGCTCTCCTCCGGAGGCTGGCTGCCTGTCACTATGCGGGCCTTTCTTTTAGCAAACCTCTCCTGGGCAGCCCTTTCTGCCCCTTGTATCTATGCAAGTTTCCTTTATACTCCTCTCTCCTTTATAATAAACCCGTCCTCCTGGATACAGCTAACATCTGTGTCTCGTGGACAAACTCACCTGGGAAACTCACCAGTGCCACTGAAAGGGGAGCTCTGGTGAAACTTAAACCAGAGTTAACCAAAGGAACCAATCTTCTGAACCCAACATCTCCAAAAACAACTGCAGTTATGTTTTTGCTCCTCCATATGTGCGCATGTTCCACTCACCCTCCACCAAACCATCCATGCCAATAACCCCATCTACCTCTCTCCCAAATTCTGTTCTCCCTCTCCCCTGTCCCCTCGGCTAACCATCAAGTTTTTTCACAGAGTCCAAGATTTACCCCTGCTGTAGTTTGCCTGTGTATTTCTATTACATAGATGAGTGGGAAATCTAATATCTATCTTTCACTTTCTGACTTATTTCACTTAACAAAATCACCTCCAGGTCCATCTATTTTTATCCCCAAAGCCTCTATTTCATTATTTCACAGCTGTGCTGTGGGTATGGTATTCTATTGAGTCTATATTCCATATTTTTTTTAATCCATTTGTCTGTTGAAGTTGGTTTATAAAGTCTTTAAATAAGGATGACTTTCTAAGTGATATCATTATAATCCTCAAATTGCTTCCTCACTTTTTTACATCTCATTTCTCTCCTTTCTTCTGGGTCCTTAGTGCATTACTATCTTAGATCACCGATTTGATCTTCCATTTATTCTATTCCACTTTTATAGCTTTCTCTGCAACTTGTTCTCATTTATTGAGTTCTTTACCTCCTGCATTTTTTGCTACTTTCTTACTTAAATCTTCAGTTTCTACTTTCCTGGCATTGATTTTATTTCTGAGCTCATTACTTTGTATTCCTGAATTTTGTTGTATCTCTTTGATTTGCTGTTCTGAGTTCTGTTTTATTTCTTTGACTTGCCTTTCTGAGTTTTCTTCCATCTCTCCGAGAATCTTTATTTTAGCATTTATGAACTCTATATCCAATAAGGAGATATAATTTTCCACCTTTTTGTGTTTTCATTCTAGAAAGTTGTTCTCACCTTGCGGTATCATACTCTCTTGAGGTCTCATTTCCATGTGTTACATTTTTTGTATGTCCATTTTGTTACATGAGGTTTTCCCATTTTATTGTAGTTTTTAAAACCTTTAGCAGTAACTCAGGGGATTAAACTATTTTACTTTTCCCACAGGTGATGCTGTGGTTTAATTTTATTTATTTGTACTTGCTAGCTTTTGTATGTATTCACATCTGTTTTGTAATTGCTGAATCACCAGGGTGGGGGAGGGACTTGGGGCGATCTAGATGTTAGCATGAATGAGTTAGGGTGGGGTTGCTTTGTGTTTGTGGCACCCGCAATATTTGTGATGAGAAACTCAAAGACCCCTGTGTTCTCAGTGCACTTCGCAAGGTAAGCACTAGTTCCAGGGAATAGGAGGGGGACTGAAGATCAGAATGCCTGCTCTACTATTATGTTTATTGGGGTTCCAGCCCATGTGGAGCACCCCAGCTCTTCCACACGGTCTGCCCGTTTCAAGGTAGTGTGCTGCTATACAACCACCATCCCCACCTCCCCAGGGCTCTGGTTTAACTGACTGCCCTACTGCTTACTAATGCCCCCTACACCAGACCACAACTTCCAGGATTCTCCATCCACCTCCTATTCCATGTAATGTGAATATTCTCAATGTCAGCCCTGCTGAAGTCTGCGCTGGTCTGCACTATCCAAGGGATAATCAATCACACTCTTACCCTTGGGACTCTCTCTCTTAACAGTGTTCCTCTGGCTCACCACCCCAAGAGCTGTAGCCAAAGGGGACCACGCCCTTCCATTGTTCCCCTGGTGGCACAAGGAAGGGTATAAGACACAGCACTGTGAAGATATCCGCAGCCACTGCAGCACGTTTGCTCCCCGGGCAGGGAGGTGACCCACATGGCACAGCAGACCTCTCCTGTCTTGCCCGCTGCTCCCCTCAGCAGTGTATTTCAGTCCGTCTGCCTGCTCTGTTCCCCACTCTGTTTCTGGTGAATCCTTTCACCCCCCGCATCTCTGGACTTCACCCAGCTCTTGAATGCATAAATAAACCTTAAAAAAAATTAAAAATAACGATTAATTCAAAGCAAACAATAAAGATACTTTCGCAAGGTTAGATATTTTTTGAATCAGCTTTACTTGGTCTATGGATCTCTGAGGAAATGTTACCTCAGGGTAGCCTTGTATATGTAAGACAGAACCGCATGTCCCCCCACAGTTAAACTTCACATGACACTATGTATTTTACTTGTTAATAGGTTCTAGGCCTGTAATCCCATACTTGGTCTGGTTTGTTCACTGATCTTGCTTTACTTCTCCGATAGTGGATGGCAAATAGTAGTTCTTAATGAAAAGTTCAATCGAAGTATATCCAAAGAACCCAGAAGTTGGTTAATGTCCTAGACTGTCCAATAATGGGATTCAACAGTGATGGAGAAACACCTTTGTTGTAAGATATCTGCGAATGAGTAACTTTTTTGGGGTTTTTCCTAGTCCGTTCTTCCTTCCACTTGGTAATTAAAGATTTCTGGCCTAGGCACTGTGTCCATCTATCGCTTTTGTGTCAGTGAAGAGGTTTCTGAGAAAACAATCAAAGAATCAACACAAGGAGGAGGGGACCAAAGGGAAAAATTAAGCAGTAGCCTCAATGGGGCATTCTCGGGCTAGATGTCCGGACTCCCCACAGCGGTAGCAATTGACCTCGCTCGTCTTCCTGCAGTTGACAGCCACATGACCGGTCTCACCACATCTGTAGCACTTGACTTGGGTGCAATCTTTCTGAATGTGGCCATATTCTCCACAGGAGTAGCACTTCTGCTCTTCCACACGATCACAGTCACGAGCCAGATGACCTGGTCTGCCGCAAGCGTAACAGCACTGCTCTCTCTCTCGCCTGGGCTCCACACAGTCTTTGGCGATGTGGCCACTTCTCCCACAGTTGTAACAGATGGCCTCGAGGAGGTCACAGTTCTTAACATGATGACCAGACTCACCGCAGCGGTAACAGATGTTAGGTAGGGTGGTGGAACCACTCGGAAACCCTCTGCTACGGCCTCTAGCTCCGCGCCCTCGACCTCCTCCTCTGGGGCAACCCCGAGCCCAGTGGCCAGAGCGTCCACACTTAAAGCATTCCTTACTGCTCATGGCTGGGGTGAGATCTTCAGGTGAGCAGGCTCACCTCTGCCCAGGAGGTCCTGACGCTACTCTACTCGCCTTTGGGCGGCTTAGAAAGAAACGACCTTTTTTCTCCACAGGCCTCAGAGACGTCACAGTAGGGTTGCGCACAGCCCCAGGCTTGCGTCACAAGCGTCCAACCGTCCTCACGCCTTGACTTTCCTCTGACAAACTCCAACCGTTGAAGTAAAAAAAAAAAGGCCGATTAACTAAAAGGAGGGTTACCCCCCCCCCATTTTTTGTTTTGTTTTTAAATAACCACTTGGGTCATTAAATTTGAGTTTGAATGCCTTTCTGTTTGGAAAATGTACCCTGTAGGATTTCTTATAATCAAGACTTAGACTTTCTTTATATACACACTACGGACCTAAGAAAAATATGTCCGAGATGTATCTGATCCAGTAAACAAAACAAACATTATAACAAATTAGAGTAAACCATTTTTTGTTTGAAAAAATAAAATATAAATATCCATAGAGCTATGAGACATATGAAGCAGAAAAAAAATTGTGAAAGCCCACAGTGAGATTTACACATAATTTATTCTATTTTAGTTTTCCACATAAGATAACTGGTTTTTCAAGATGATTTAAGTTATAAAACATAACATGATTGAAGCATTCAGTATAAGGAACTTGTTATTAGTTGGAAAATAGATTTTAAATATTGGGCAGGTTTTCTCCTCCAAATTGTTTTTTATTTAAGCCTCATAAGGATTTATGGACATGTGCTTTTATGTAGATTTAGAAATAAGTATAAAAAACTAGACACTGAAATATCCAATGTAGCTATTTTGGAGTTACATGATTGAATATGACTTCTTTTTCTCATTTTCCTTCTCTGGTTTTATAGTTTTTGAGATAAGTTTAGGATGTGTAATTAAAAAATTCCAAAATAAATATTTTCCCCCTTTTTCCCAATTATGTTTATTGAGGTAAATTTGGTTTACATCATTGGATCTGCTCTGGGAGTTGCAGGTTCAAACAGATATTTCCCTTTAAGTTATTAATTAGCTTTTTTTTAGTTATTAATTAGCTTTATGTTTTACAAGTGAATTTTTTCAGGCAACCAGTACAAATGTATTTAGTAAAACAGAGACTTAATAGTGGGGAATGCAGAGGAGGAGGTGCAGGGTTATGCCCAGCAGGAAGCCAGCTCCAGGTGTGGCTTTTGCCATTGATGATCATTCTTTTCTTCTTCTGGGAGAAGGAAAGTCCCTGAGTTGGGGGTGGGGGGTGGAAGAGGGGGAAGTAAGGGCAGGAGAGAACTGTGAATGTAACCGTTGTTTTTTGTTCTTAATGTCACTTGATTGGAATGTGCAACTGAGCCCATAAATACAAATACAAAAATATTTCCCAAAACTTATAAAAGTTTGGAGCCAAATAGCATGAGCAGTTGCCACATTTAGTGTAAAGAAATGAGTTTTATTCCCAAACAATTAAACGGCACTGTATAAATGTTATCAAAAGGCAAAAAGCTACGTCTGTGACTCAAAATTTGATATATGCTTATTAAGTTAACCTTTAATAGTTAATGCTATTATGTTTAAATTGTCCCTTAATTTTATATTTTTATTCAAATAATACATACCCAGAGTTTATTTATTAATTTTAGAAGAGAAAAGGCAGATTTAATGAAACATACTGCTAAGAGAAGCAGCAGGTGAAACAGGAGAGATCTGCTGTGCCCATAGCCAGAGTTTAAAGCATTGATTTTCAAATAGCTTTAATTGAGGCATGAAGAAATGCATTTTACAGCACAGGGCTTCCCCGGTGGCGCAGCGGTTGAGCGCTGGGTTGAGAAGCTGCCCGCAGCCTCTGCAGCGCCGGTTCAATCCCCGGCTGCTCCCCGGCCACCGGAGGAGGGTCCCACATGGTGCGCAGACCTCTCCTGCTGCCTGCTGCTCCCCTCAGCAGTGTGCTTCGGTCCTTCTGCCTGCTCTGCTCCCTGCTCTGGCTCTGGTGAATTCTCTCACCCTCCCGCGATTCTGACTGTACCCAGTGCTTGTATAAATAAATAAAAATAAATCTTTAAAAAAAAAAAAAAAAAAAAAAAAAAAAAAAAAAAAGAAATGCATTTTACAGCACAATAGAGGATATGTGTGTGTTGTAACTCAAATAATCTTGAAGTGATGAGAGCTGATATTCTTGTTTTATTCTTGATCTTAGGGCTGTTCGGGTGCAAAGGAAACCATCATGTACCCTTCTGGGTACTTTCGAATTGGCCAAATAATCAAAACAGCACCAGGGTCTCCCTGTTTGCGCAAGGGGTTGAGCACCTCACTATGAAGCAATCCGCAGCCTCTGCAGCAAGAGTTTGATCCCCGGCTGGCCAGGGAGAAACCCACATGGTGCAGCAGACCCCTCGTGACTCGCCCGCTGCTCCCCTCAGCAGTCAGTCTGTCTGTTCTGTTCCCCACTCTGTCTCTGGTGAATCCTCTCACCCCCCCCCACATCTCTGGCCTGTACCCCAGCTCTTGTATGCATAAATAAATACATCTTTTTTTTTTTAAAAAAAAAAAAAGCATCAGATGGGTTAACAAAGGAAAACCAATCAATTTAATAGCACACTTATGGAGAATGTGCATGGTTATAAATTCTAGAGTATAATGGAGTGGACCAAGAATATTCTCCTGTGTTTTGGGACCTGGGGCATCAAGAACAGAGAAGGGGAGACTTCACATGACAGATGTGGAGGGGGGTGACCTCATCCTTACTGAGTCAAGATGAGATTCTTAGGGAGAACATGATTACTGACAAACCTAGAGCTGGATGAGACTCCCAAACTACATTCTTCCAGGTCATAAAAGGGGGAGCAATGATTGCTAATTGATAGGAAAAGGGATAAAAGCTTAGGAAGTGACAATTTCTTTTTTGTTTAGGAAAGGGCAAAGGATATAAGCAGTGACTGTAGATTCTCCTAGGCTTCAGGACGCTCGCTGCGCTCAACCCCAAATAATTGGCATGCTGTGAATATTGGGAATAGACATCCTAAGACTCACAGGGCCTTGATTGACTCTAGTTCACCTACTAAGATAACAAGAAGCCTCCTCTGGGCATATTGAGAAAAGCCTATCTGATCCTTTTGGAGAGACTAACCTGCCAGAGGGAAAGTGGTCAGTCTTTGACCATTCAATATGATGTTAGTTCTGGGTATTTTATACATTCTCTTTATCAGGTAAGGAACATCCAGTTTGCTGGATGTTCTTATCATGAAGAGGTGCTGAATTTTGTCAAATGCTTTTATTGCATCTTTTCAGTTGCCTTGACTTTTCATATTCTGTAGAACAACCAGTACCTTATTGAATAGAAGTTGTGAAAGTGGGAGCCTCCCCGGTGGTGCAGCGGTTGAGCGCTGGGTTGCAAAGCTGCCCGCAGCCTCTGCACCGCCGATTCGATCCCCGGCCTGCCAGCGAGGGTCCACATGGCACGCAGACCTCTCCTGCCTCCCCCGCTGCTCCCCTCAGCAGTGTACTTCAGTCCTTCTGCCTGCTCTGCTCCCAGCTCTGGCTCTGGTGAATTCTCTCAGCCTCCCATGCTTCTGACTGTACCCAGTGCTTGTATAAATAAATAAATCTTTAAAAAAAAAAAGAAGTTGTGAAAGTGGGCATCCTTGTCTTGTTCTTTATCTTAGGGGAAAAGTTTCAGTCTCACCATCAAATATGCTATTAGCTGTGGGCTTTTGGTAGATGCCCTTCATCAGGTTAAGGAAGTTGCCCTTATTCGGTTTATTAAACATTTTTTGAATCATGAAAGGGCATGAAATTTTGTCATAATCTTCTGTGACTATTGTGATAATCATGTGGTATATATCACAGCGGTTTTTATGTGATCATCTAATCCTACATTCCTGAGAAAAATACCACTTCATCAAACTGTACAATCTTTTTTATGTGCTGCTGGGTTTGGTTTGCTAGTATATTGTTGGGAATTTTTGTATCTATGTTGATAAGGAATATTAATATGTAGGAGTTTTTTTCCTTGTGTTAACTTTGTTTGTCATTTCAAGGTAATGACCCCAAAGAATGATTTTGGAAGTGTTCTCACACCTATTTTTTGGACATTTGTGAAAAATTGTTACTTCTTCTCTAAATGTTTGGACTACATTCCATCATCTGGTTATTCCCTTAAGTGTATATACCACTGAGCTGGGCATTTGGGCCTGGCCCATTCAATATTCATTTAATTCTCTTTGTTTATTTTTTTAAAGATGTATTTATTTATGCATGCAAGAACTGAGGTACAGGCCAGAGGTGTGGAGCTTGGGAGGATTTACCAGAGACAGAGTAGGGAACAGAATAGGTGGATTGACTGAAATACACTGCTGAGGGGAGCAGCAGGTGAGCCAGGAGGTCTGCTGTGCCATGTGGGTCACCTCCCTGGTTGGGATGGAACTCGCTGCAGTAGCTGAGGATAGCTTCATAGTGCTGACGCTTAACCCCTTGCGCCACCAGGGAGACCCTTAATTCTCTTTCTTGTTTGAAAAGTTGGAAAGTCAAAAAATTCACATTCTAGGCTCTCTGACAATCATGGTTCTGGAGACGAAATAGGCTCCGTCAATTAGAGTCAACTCCTCAAAATGTAGAGGGCAAATGTAACATCTTCCAGCCACGTTTTGCCTGTACTTCCTAGCAAGTGAGTTGCACAGGCTCGCCACCACCTTTATATGCCAGTAATCAGCTGTGATTGTAAGAGCAGCAGTGGTGGTTTTTTATTTTGGCTTCCAATTGGTGGCTTCCAATTTTCTGGATCATGGCTCTCAAACTGTCTTATAACCAGGTATCTTTATACACAAAAGTAATTTTGTTCTAGGCTCTAAGATATCTCATCCTCTCTATACACAAGAGCAACTTTGTTCTAGGCCCTAATATATCTCCCGCCCAAATTTTTGTTTCAAGAGGTCATTCTCCATGTAATTTATCAGAGAGTCAATGATCAGATCAATCCTGTTTCTTGGTCTCTTAATCATTTTTTCACATATTCAAACTAATTAATCTTTAGCAATGAAATCAAGACCTTTAGTAACATGAGCTTGTTTCTGTACTATTTTGCCATCCTCTGCTTTTCCCATTGCCTCATTTCCCAAAGTCACAAAAATCAGCCAGTTCTTGTGCCAAAGTAGATTGGTAATATCAAGGAAAAATGATTGGACTCGGGGCCTCCCCGGTGGCGCAGTGGTTGAGCGCTGGGTTGCGAAGCTGCCCGCGGCCTCTGCGACGCCGGTTCGATCCCCGGCTGCTCCCCGGCCACCAGAGGAGGGTCCCACATGGCGCGCAGACCTCTCCTGCCGCCCGCTGCTCCCCTCAGCAGTGTACTTCGGTCCTTCTGCCTGCTCTGCTCCCCGCTCTGGCTCTGGTGAATTCTCTCACCCTCCCGCGCTTCTGACTGTACCCAGTGCATGTATAAACAAACAAACAAACAAATAAATAAAACATGCCTCTATAAAAAAAAAAAAAATGATTGGACTCTGAGAAGATAAAGGGTACTCCTTGGTTGTTTTATATTATTGCAATGGTAACTTTTACAAAGTTAAGTCCAGTCCCATGTCAGATTTAGTCAATGTATAATTTGGCAAAGCTATATTCAATGTACTGAATTCTTAATTTCTTTTTTTTTTTTAAAGATGTATTTACTTATACAAGAACTGGGTGACAGGCCAGATGTGTGGGAGGGTGAGAGGATTCACCAGAGACAGAGCGGGGAACAGAACAGGCAGATCTACTGAAATACACTGCTGAGGGGAGCAACGGTTGAGTCAGGAAAGGTCTGCCACGCCATGTGGGTTTCTCCCCGGCCGGACAGAAATCGAACCGGTGCTGCAGAGGCTGCGGACAGCTTTATACTTTGTGTCTTAACCCCTTGCGCCACCAGAGAGACCCAATTTCTTCATTTCTTCTCTTTCCTAAACACCAACCTCATTTCAGGTGTCAGGAAATCCTCTGTTAGTCAGGAATATCCAAGAAACAGAACCAACATTCACATAAAATCAATATCTATATTCACATTCACATAAAATTTACACATTCACATAAAATCAATATCTGTATTCAATCTATGAATCTACTTATATCTATCTACTTATATCTACTTATATCTACTTATATCTACTTATATCTATCTATCTACTTATATCTATCATTTAAGGAATTAGTTCACATGACTATAGAGGCTGGCAAGCCCAAAATCTGCAGGGTGGTCCACCTATCTAAGGACATGGGCCAGGCAAGTTGACACATAAAATTAACTATCACATTTTCTAAAAGAGGGTCATTCTTCTATGAAATGTATAGGGTGGGAAAAAAGAGGAAAATAGAGTCTAAGAATGCTAGTCTAAGATGGGTAATAGAGTTTCTCAAATTTCTCCTTTACCAATCCTGAGGAATTGTTTGTGAAGTGGAAAGTACAGACAAATAGGTAGGCTTAGGGCCCTAAGCATTTTATGGGGTTTAGGATTTATAAGCTGTGCCTCTTTCTTGAATTTCTCTTCAGATGGGACCATAGGAGACTAGGGAAGTTCTGTTGAAAGGAAGAGTAGTGGAAAGAGCAAGTAACTCTTCTGCAAGAATTATGTGCTGACCTCAATTTTACAATATTTAAAAGAATGGAATGCTGTCCATTTATGTAAAATGATAATTGGGACCATAGAATAGTTATAATTAATATAACATATTATCATATCTATAAAAACGCTGATGTTAAAACATTACATAATTCAACAAAATCAAAAGAACACAAAGATTTAATAGGCATTAGGTTTCTTTTTATGCTAATGAAAATACTCTATAATTGATTCTGGTGATGGTTATACAGCTCTGTGAATATACTATAATCTATTTTATTGTATGTTTTTAGCTGGTGAATGGTATACTATATCAATTGTATCTCAATAAAACTGTTATTACAAAAGGGCCTCGCTGGTGGCACAAGGAGTTAAGTCTTAGCATTATGAAGCTATCTGCAGCCACTGCAGCTCAAATTTGATCCCTGGCCAGGGAGCTGACCCACATGGCGCAGCAGACCTCTCCTGACTTGCCCACTGCTCCCTGCAGCAATCTATTTCAGTCAATCTGCCTGTTCTGCTCCCCACTCTGTCTCTGGTGAATCCTCTCATCCCCCCTCGCTCTCTCACTTCTAGACTACACCCAGTTCTTGTATGCATAACTAAATAAAATAAACCAAAACTGTTATAACAAAAAGGAGAACACAAAGAAATAAAGACATAAAAACATTTGCTATAATAATGTTGCAGAGGGCCTCCCTGGTGGCACAGGGATTAAAGTCTCAGCGCTATCAAGCTATCGCCAGCCACTGCAGCACCAGAGTTCGATCCCTGGCCAGGGAGCTAACCCACATAGCATAGCAGTCCTCTTCTGTTGCTGGAGATTTTTTGAACACCACTATAACCGCTTACATTTCTAGTTACCTCTTTTTATCTTCTGTATATTGCACATCTTTGTATAAACTTTTGTGTATATTATGTAAAATACAAACATCCATTATTTCTCAAAGAATGTTAGTATGACATTCTTTTTTAAATGTTTTTTTTTTTAATAGAGGCATGTTTTATTTATTTATTTATTTACTTGTTTGTTTGTTTATACATGCACTGGGTACAGTCAGAAGCGCGGGAGGGTGAGAGAATTCACCAGAGCCAGAGCGGGGAGCAGAGCAGGCAGAAGGACCGAGGTACACTGCTGAGGGGAGCAGCGGGCAGCAGGAGAGGTCTGCGCGCCATGTGGGACCCGCCTCCGGTGACAGGGGAACAGCCGGGGATCGAACCAGGCCGCAGAGGCTGCAGGCAGCTTCGCAACCCAGCGCTCAACCGCTTCGCCACCGGGGAGGCCCTAGTATGACGTTCTTAACAAGTTGAAGGGGATGATGATGTACACATTTTATGGGACTCCAGGCTTAGGTATTTGTGAATCTCGGTTTCCAGTATTTCAAACTGGCTGCGCAGAAAGCAGTAAGAACCCCACCGTAAAACATAAAGAGATACAAAATGTTATTTTGTATTCTCTCCTGCTTACATCCAGAAAGAAATCTATTTCAGAGTCTGTTGAATCAAAGGTGCCACTTCTCTTAGAATTGATATTTAAGTTTCTCAGAGAAGACAGGAACAAGCCTTGTATTTAGCAGCAAAGGATACTGAACGTTGTTTTTAACTTCTGGACAATACCGGGTTTGTGAAGAGAAAGAAAAAGGTTGTGTGCTGATTCATGTTCCCAAAGTAATAGAACATTCAAAAATAATCAAACACTTTCTACTCTGTGCACGGCAGCTTTTGGGTCCCTGTCTCTGTGTTTTTGCAATAGGTGTGTTATCAATCAGATGTTTGATTTGCCCAGCGCTAACTACTTGAGAGCTACTTTGGAGAATACTGTATGGATATACTTTTTAAACAACATTTTTGCAGTACTTCTTACAATCTGCAACATCTGACATGGGAGGAGAGGAGTCAGAGGCCCAGGAGGGCTGCAGATTGGCAGGAAAGATGAAGAATGGGAGGGTAAACCAGTAAGGATAACAGAGGGAATAGATGCAGCCCTGGGGAGCCTTGTTAATGAAATAAACGGTGGGCAGAAGAATGGGAAAGGGATTGACTAGGGAAGGACGGGCTGAGGGAGTGTGGTGGCGGAGGCCCATGCGACCAAAGGGAGGAAAAGTGGAGGAAGCAGAATGAGTTAGGGACCTGTGCGCCTTCTGGAGGAGGGGGTGGGGAGGGGAGAGGGACGTGCTGGGCGCATGCGCTGGAAGCACTGCGGCGATCTGGGAGAGGCAGTCCTTCGCTGGCATCACAGCTGCGCCTGGAGGCACCGCTAGTCCTCAGCCTGCGAGCCACTGCCACCTTGACCTGCAGCTACTACGCTGGCGCCCCGAGTTCCGTACCGCCGCTCCCTCCCCTATCTTGGGACCGCTGGCGCCAAGAATTCTTGCTACGACGCTCCATTCAACCAGGAGGTAAAGGAACGATGTAGGGGGAAGAACATGGAGGGCGGCGGAAGAAACTCAGGGCAGAGAGATCCTTAATTTGTGTGTTCTCCCGGTTCACGAGAGGAAGAAATGGGGGGCGGTAGGGACCTCACACCTACCAAAGGATGTCGAACATTTACTTTCCATTGTAAAAGGGATACAGATTCCTTTCCTCTAGCCAGGGCTGAGGCCCCTGAGCGTCGGTATTTTCCCAAACATTTCATGTTTAAAAATTTTGGAGTTCCTCATTTGTAGAAAACGTATATTTAAAGGACAGAGCTTTAGGACTAGATGCATCCGATTATGGAGCTTTCTTTGCTTTTGTTCAGGGTGGTGTGTCTCACCACTGAGCCCGAAGGTACCCTATCCCCTCCTGGGGGTTCCCAGCGGCTTCCAGCTAGATTTGGCATCTGCTCCGGTCACTTGGTACGGCCTCGTTCTGTATCCCACTTGCCTAGTTTAACACCCCTACCCCCTCTACGAAAAGTGGGAAAGGCTCTACTTGAGCACGGGGCACAGCTGTGGCTAGGAACAAGACCAGATATATCAGGCACGTATATATTTTAAACGGAGGTGGGAGGACTGGCGCGGCGCGCTTATGTATTTGAGAGGATGGAAGTGGCGTGGCCCGCGCAGGTACATTCGAGAAACCCAGATGTGAGGGCGCCGGGGGCTGGGGGTGGGGCGGGTGGGCATCCAGCAGTGGAGGGCGGGAGAGACGCGTGCTCCAGGCATGGGGGGGTGGCGGGCGGACGGGCGTTCGGGCGGGGGGCGGTGGCTGTGGTCGAATGCGTATTTAATAAGGCAAAATTCTAGTAGCTGGCCTCGGCGGTTGCGAGTGAAGATGCGCCTGCGCGTTTGGGGCGACTTTGTGACGGTTGGCTTTAACGGGTGTGTGTGTGTGGAGGGGCGGGGGGGCTTGTGAACGGAGGCGCGCATGCGTATTTCATACGAACCCCACGGGCGGGTTGGGGTGCGCGGGGAGGCGCGCGGCATACGTGTAATTATGATTACAAAATGGCGAGGGGGGAGGTAAGTTTTATTTGCTTAGCCATTTGGGACTAGGAGAGCCTGCAGAGAAGATCTACCTTTTAATTGGGTGAAGGGATCAGCCTGAGGTGGGGTTTTCCTAGACTCTGGCCAAATCCACCAAGAAATTAATTCAGAATCTTAGCCTCTCACCGGCCTATCGATAATGTGGTTTAAAGATGCGGAGGCGATGATGACTCTATAAAAGATTGCTGCAGCTGTCTATAGGAAATGTGCCTAACGGGAACACTTAAGAGACGGTTCATTTTGGGGCAGTACACATTTGGAGGACGTTATGTTGTACTAGAAGATCTTGACCCGCTGTACTTGGCTCTGGACACATTCTCATCCCATCAGAATAGCAGAGCACAGTGGTTGCAGTATTGTGAGACTCTACTGCTAATGTTGGTCAGAGAAGCCTTTGCTTTTTCTCCCCATGGGACAAGAATTTGGCTGCTTTTCCAAATACTTATTGTATTTTGCTTTAACCATACGGTTTGCGCAAATGATAATTAATGAAGGTGATTTCGGCTCACACCGGTTTTGTGCAGGGAACAGGTTCTTTTTTGTTTTTGTTTTCGTCTGCTGTACTGTCTTGGCTTTTAGGGGGCTGCTAATGAGGATGTATTGTTAATCGCGAAAACTAATAACTGAACCCTTTGATGTGTAGTAAAAAAGACAGAATTCAAAATTGAGATTACGGGTCTTTTTCAATATCCCTAGCTGTGATCTCATGCTGGTCCTTAAACTTCTCAGGGTCTAGTACCCTATTTATAGTAATAATTGTACTTAAACGTCTCTGGTACTTAAACTGTGTGTCAGGAACTCGTCTACGGGCTTTTACACATGCCTTAGTTTATTTAGTACTCTCGAGAATCTTAGGGAATAGCAGTACCATTGTTCATCTTTTACAAATGAGAAATTAGACGGACACAGATTAATTTGTCCAAGGCTTTATATCCAGTTGAATGACTGAGACTGGACTTTTATCCGGGTAGCATCGCTCCAAAATCCTGTGCTCTTACATTTTTACCTCCTAAAAAGAGGTGGCAAATTTAAAGGACCCTTCTTTTATGGTTTCAAATTTTGCTTGTAAAGAAAGGAAACTTGTTTGCTGCCTTTTATTCATTGCATAGTACTGGGTTACATGTGTAGAAGGCAAAAAGTAAAAATGGTTGATTTGAAGTCCAGTGGTGGCCACCCGTGTCTACCCTTCTGTGCTTTTTGTTCTGCGGAGGGTTTAAAATGGCCGACTGCGGCAGGCTGGACACACCCTTCTTGTTTTGCCTGATTTTGAGATCTGGTCTTACTGCTTTGAGACAACCACTCATTTGCCTGCAGTAGAGATTTTTTTTTAAAATCCATTATTAGTACGAATGTCCAATAATAAAGAAAGTTTTATTGTCTTTTTTCTCCTTAAAATAAAAAGCTGAAAATACATATATTTTACTATTTGGTTAGGATAGATTCATTGAAGTGTAATTACTACGTCAAAGGGTATGAACATTTTAAACACTCAATATGTATAGCCAATTTTCCTCCTGAAAACATTGTACCGATTTTAACTCATTCAGGCATTTAGTGGTGTTGCTTAAAAATTATTTTATGGATAAAAAACAGTAATTTTGTGTGTCTTTGGTTATTTGAGTTCCTTGTTTTCCTCCATGCTACTTCGTTTTATTTGCTTTTCACGTGGTGTTAATTCATGTGTTATACTGATTTATCTGTTGGAGTTTTGGCTTACCATTTTTTATTATTTTCTATTTGAGTCTGTTTGTAAAGAAGGCTATTACTCAGATTTCTGTAATGTTATAAATATATACTGCAGGTTATTGTTTGCCCTTTAATTTGTTTTTCATTTTTTGTTTGTGATTTTTCTTCCACTGTTTAAATTTTAATAGTTCCCTCAATCTAGAAATTTGGCAAATATCCCTTGTTGCTTTGAAGATAACCGTCAAGTATGGGAGGGGGTGTGAAGAGCTATAATTTCTCCACCCAGAGATGTCTCTGGTGAGTTCTCTCACCCTCCCGCGCTTCTGACTGTACCCAGTGCTTGTATAAATAAAATAAAATAAATCTTTAAAAAAAAAAAAACAAATTTGTTAGGTTTTCATTTCTCTGCATTTTTCTCGTCAATTATATGTTTGTGCTATTTTATACTGCTTTTTTTTTTTTTTTACATTATAGGATGTACTTTCCCTGTTAAACGTTCTTTGTAATGGTCATGTAATGGCTTCATGGTATTTTTTGTAAGGAAGTATTTTAACACTTTTTTTAATATTTTAAATTATGTAATGAATGTCTCTTCATTTCATTTTTATTATTTTGAGTTATTTCTTTCTAGAATAGAGTTCAAAATTAGAATTATTCATCTAAAGTTTTGAACATTTTAAAGATTTGTCATAACAGCTTTAAAAAATGTCAATTTTTGAACCCAGTCTTTTAGATATTTAAAATTAATTTTATTTGCTAACTTTATATGTAAAAGAATGGTATCTTTGTTTTATGATTCACTTCTCTGTTGGTGAGGCTGAACTTTCATGTTAAATATTAGCCCTTATTTCCTTTTGTGAACCATTTGGGTCTGAATGTTATCATTTTGGTTCTGAATGTTATCTGTTTGTAAGAGCTTGGTGTTATGTGCTATAAGGACCTTTTGTCAATTATTGCACATATACTCCTGGACGCTTGTGTATGAAGAAATATTATATGCTCCTGGTATATGCTTGTGTATGAATATTTGTGACTCCAAAGACAAATGCTGCATGCATGGGTTGCATATCAGATCCTTGGTGGCCATTTTGAAATAACATTTTTCTGTCCTTTAAGTAAATAGCCTTTTCTTTTCTGTAAAAAGAATGCTCTCTTGTGTGTTGCACAGCAGTGGTGCTCCCTGGCTAGGTGTGGGCTGAAGACATGGCAACATTTTGTCCCTAAATAAGAAGCCAGCTTAGACAAGATACAGATCCTTTTCCCATCCATTCAGAGGCTCATTGTATTTTGGGTATTTATGAATGATCTGGGAGAGGATAATAGACATAGTGTAATGTTCACATGTACATGTAAATAACATTAAGTTCACACATATAGATAACACTAAGCCCTTTGGGGATGTAAAATGCCAATAGGAACAAACTGCAATACCTGAGAAGGCATTATAAATTTAGGCTGACAGGCATAACAGAACTGTATAGGCAAGAGTAATATAATGACTTTAAGAGAAGGAGTATGCTCAACTTATAAAATAGTGTGCTCACAGACATTGTGTCCCACAACAGGTATCTTAGTGTAAATGGCAACAACTTATTGATATCATCAACCCAATTTGCTGGTGCAGGAAAAAAAGAGCCATTAAAAACCCTAGACTGGGCCTCCCTGGTGGTGTAGGGGTTAAAGTTTCAGCATTATCAGCCTGTCCTTTGCCACTGCAGCATGAGTTCCATCCCTGGCCAGGGAGCCACCCACATGAGGCAGCAGACCTCTCCTGTCTCGCCCTCTGCTCCCCTCAACAGTATATTTTAGTTAGTTTGCCTGTTCTGCTCCCCACTCTGTCTCTGGTGAATCCTCTCACCGCCCCCCCCCCCAACCTATACCCCAGTTCTTGTATGCATAAATAAATAAAATAAATCTTAAAAAAAAAAACCTAGACCTTATTTAAAAATATCCCCCCCCCACACACACACACAAATAGCACCTACAAAAACCCTAGGCCTTATTAAGAATGATCTGAAACACTGAAATATTCCATTCTTTGGCTTTGTGTAAACCCATCTGATCCAAATGCTTAGTAAATGGTGGTAATCTCTCCTCAAAGAGTCTCTTACTATCAGTCATCCAATTTGTGTTAAGAGGGTGGGCAGATTATTTTAACTCTGTTTCATTTTTCTTATTTATACAATGTAGGTGATTTATTTATTTATTTATTTGTTTGTTTGTTTGTTTATTTATGCATACAAGAA